AGTGAATAAGGAGGGAATGAACAAATGAATGATCCAATGAAGAGATGTGTAAATGTAGCATAAGGTGAAAGTGTACCATGATTGTGATTCCCCTTCCCTCCTCCCAGCTCAGCCTTAGCCTACGTGTGAGAAATTGGCCTCAGAACTTAAAGACTTGGGGGCGGGGCAGTGGAGGGGTGGGGATGTTTTCCTTTAACAAAACCTCGGATTGGCGGACGAGTTGAAGTGGTTGGGTGGGAGTGGGAACTCCCTGGGTGTCACCCACTGCACTGCAGCATTTCCTGAGCCCTGGGCAGCAGGCCTGCTGATTCATGATGCTCTCCATGATTATTTGTCCATGATTACCCCTCAGCCCCCAAGCTGATGATTGAAGGAAGGAACTATAGCTTCAGGGGCAGCAGCTCCCCAAGGCTGAGGTGGTAAACAGGAGCCCCCAGGAGGTGGGTGGAAGAGTGGAGGCCAGAAGGGTCCAGGCCATGTGAGGCAGGGAGAGGGTAGGAGTAGCCCACGTCTGAGCAGGTGTTGGCATGAATGAAGAGGGGGTCAGGTAGCACACACTTATCAGGCACCTGCTGTGTGAGGTCGTGCCCAGTCCTTGCCTGTGTGCTCTGTTCTCCAGCCAGCCTGACAGGAGGGAGAGGTTGGGGTGTATCCTGGGCTTCTTCTTCACTTCCCCCATTCAGTTATCAAGCCCCACCAAACCTGCCTGTCAGATATCCTCCGTTGGTCCCCTGGTCTCCATCCCTGTGACTCTGGTCCAGTCTAGAATCCTCACAGTCTCTCCACCTCCCACCTTTCACTTTGGCTGCCGGGAAGTTCAGTCATCCTCTCAGTCTAGGTTTCTTCTGCTGTTCTTCTGCTCTGCCTCTAATAGGATTATGTGGCTCTTGTTGGAGCTGCATCCAGCCCTTTATGGACAGAGCTGTAGGCCCTAAAGGAATCAATAAGGAAAATCTGGTATTCCCTTGATTCTTACGAGGACATCCACTGGCTTTTGAGATTTTTCACATTTCATAGCTCCCACCCAGATATGGAGACATTGGTGCTGAACAGGGTGGGGTATTGGTTCAAAGCAATGTGTTCAAATCCTGGCTCTGCTACTACTAGCTACATGAACCTTAGGCTAGTTACCTAACCACTCAGTGTGCCTCACTTTCCCATCTGTAATGTGGAGATTTTAAAAAATGATGGTATCTACCTTGTGTGGGTTTGTGAGTGTTAAATGAGATGGTATAAGCACTGTGGTAAGCACTATGTTTGGCAGTATAGTTAGTAGCTGAGTGGGTCTTAGTCATCCTGGGAGGATCAGCAGGACAAGGGGCTGGCTCTGTATGGAATGTTCTATGTAGGTGCTTCTCAAATGTCAATGTTGGCCTGAATTCCTTGGGGATCTGATTCAGTAGGTCGAGGTAAGGCCTCCAGGCACATTCCTGACCTACTCTTAGATGATGCCAGTGCTTCTGAGGAAAGTTTATACTTTAATCTACACTGTGAGGACCTGGCTGTGGCGGAGATCCATCGCGGAGACCCAAGGGGAATGGAGGACCTGGGACTGGTGTCCTGCCCAACCCATCCTGAAACTCTGAGGAAGCTGGGCTCTGAGCTGAGTCTGAGACAAGGATCAATATGTTTTTCACCACTAGGTCATTGACACTTAGAAGGGCTCAATAAGTATAGGTTGAATGAATGAATGAACCAAAAATCTAGTGAAATGTGGGCTCCACAGGGTTGGCTGTGCTCCTTTGCCTGGAAATGGCCCTGTCCCTACTAGAACTCCTCTTTCTCACATTCTGCCCATTAAGCTCCCAAATCCAGAGTGATTAATTAGTCACTTTGAGCTGGTGACAGACAGGGCCAGATAGGTCAGGGACCGCAATCCTGAAGGGACTTTTGCCTGCTCTCTGAGCATTCCAGCCAGGGCTTGTGTGGGATGGCTGTAGAGATTGAGCCAGATAAACCATCTATGTCCTTGGGAACCCCTTGGCCCCTCTGGGAGGGAGCCCAGGAAGGGCCTGGGCATCTGAGGACTCAACTCTTCCCTCTCCATGTCTTTCCTGGTTCTGAAAGTTCTTTGTGTGAAACTTGCTGCTGAGCTGAGCCAGAGCCCTGAACGGTTATGTGGGTGCACATGTGCATGATGTCATTGTGCTCCCTGTGTGGCAGGTGCTGGGGCACATACACGTGTGTGGACCTGCGTGGGTTGTATGGAGCTGTGTCGGGGTCTGGGTGCGCTATGTGTGCACCAGTGAAGGATCATACCCACGGACATGTGCCCCCTCCTCCTCTGCCAGTTCTCTATGGCCCCTCTGTGCTTTCCTACCATGGGAAACAGCAGACTCCAGACTCTGGACAAAATGAGATGCTGAGGTTGCAGAGAAAGAAAGCTGAGGTGCAGCAGGAGAACTAGCCTCCCCCTGTGTGAGGAGCCCACCAAGCATTCTGCCTGCAAGCCTGAAGTGGGGTCAACTCCCTTCAGGATCTGATCTGAACCCAGAGGGACCAAGTCTCTTGCTGAGACTGAGTCCAGGCCATTTCCTGTTTCAGACAGCGGACTGAGGGTAGTGTTTCCCTCCTGTCTCCTAGAAGCAGCAAGTGGCCAATGGACAGTGGCCTTGGGTGCCTGGGATGTGCTGGACACCATTCCTGCTGGCCAGTGGCTCATCACAGGCCACAGGAACCCTTCTCAGCACTTGACTCATATAGGCAGGAATAGCTCCATTCTTCAGGGAGGGAAACCAAGGTTCAGGAAGGGGCGAGACCCACCCAAAGGAGTGTCCAGTGCTGTACTATGAACCCAGCCCAGGGTCAGGAGTGGGGACCCTGAGATCCAGCTGGCAGTGACTACTTGGGAGTGGGTCCTTGAGAGGCAGGGTTCTAAGGTTGACTTGGCCAGTTTGTGGTAAACATCACCCACCAAGAACAAGTAGGGTGTAAACTGTAAAGTACTTGATTATTGTACCAGGATTAAAGGGTGCCTGCTGGTGACTGAGGGTAGCTCAGGAGGTAGCTATCAGGGAGTCAGTGCCCACAGGTGGAAGAGGGTCTGAGGACCCCAGGAGAAGGGCTTTGGCCTTGGGCATACCCCCATGAGGAGCCTACATTCAGGGCTGAGCTGGGAGAGCCTAAACCCGAGTTAATCCTGTAAGTCTTCCTCCTCCTCTTGTGTAACTGCTTTTGTTCCCTGGGGAAATCGAGAGCCTGTGGTGACCAGGAACACCACAAATCTCAGACGGCATCTGGGCCTGCCTAGGATTGTGGCAAGAATTGCCAAAGCCTGGGAAAACAAGGTCTATGAACTGGAGGTTTGTGGGCACTCCAGGAGTGGGCATGTGTGTGTACTACATGCAGAGACACGAGCACAAGCAAGCACTTGTGAATAAACATATACACTCCAGGGCCACTCACATAGACACACACGTGTACCATTCCAAACACAAGCACTCTTGTAAATACATGTGCATCTTCCCAGTCAGACCCACACATACCTGACACCTGCGCACACACACACCACCCCCCCCATGCAGACATTCATGTAGGTACCTCCTCTCCTGGCCTCGGGGCCTGCAGTGTGGGATGCGTGACCCTCACAGTAACCTCAGGCTTACTTTCTCCTCCAGGAATAAGCTTTCCAGGCCTCCTACTCTTGTCCCTTTCCAAGTCTCCTGCCTCACCTTCCCACCACAAGAACAGAGGAAGAGCTTTTTGTGTCAGCTGCCAGCCCACTGGGTTGGGAGCAGAGGTGTCTTTGTCTTTTCTGAAGAACTGGTTCTGTGGAATTTTCACTTCTTTCCTGTCAAGGGTCAAAGGCCTGCTCTGGAGGCTGCCTCAGGGCCCCACAAGCTCAAGGAGGCTGGTTTTCAGACAAACAGGGATGTTGAGCAGGTAACAACCCCTAACATATGAGTGGTGCCTAAAAGTTTGCGGAAGGCCTTCTTGCCAGTGTCTAGCTCATTCTTCATGATAGTCCTAAGATGTAGGTGCCTTAGTTTCCTCCCTTTAACGGATGAGAGAACTGAGGCCCAAAGAGGGATGGGACTGACCTGAGGTCACCCAGCAAGATGAGGCAGAGTTGACCAAAACTTTAGTCTCCTGGGCTTGGGCTGAGAGGAAGTGGTTTCAGTCTCCTGGGGCTTAGAGAAGGAGACTTTGGCCTGCCAGAGCTTGGAGGATGGGATAGGCTGGGGCTACCAAGTGAGCCCAATGGAGGAGCCCCTCCCAGGCCAGTGCTCTGCCGAGGCTCAGCCCTTAGTCCACCCTTGTGGACGTGCCTGAGGAGAGGGCAGGAAGGAGAACAAAGACACTTTTGCCTTGCTGTGTGAAACAGGCAAGTCCCTGCCCCTCTCTGGGCCCAGCACCTTCTCTCTACAGTAAAACATCAGGGTTGGTTAGAGAATACGCTCTCTCCGAGCCTGGGGAAATCTTCTGCAGGGCTGCGAGTCAAATGCAGGCCCTGGTGGTCCTGAGTTGTGACCTGTGCCCAGGGAGCCCTGGCCTTGGCCCCTGGTCTGCTGCTGAGATCCACCGAGGCTGGGCCTGGCACAGAGAGGTGGGCTCAGGACCTGGGGTCTTCTCCAGGCTGGGCAGAAGGTGGTGTTGTGAGAAGAGGACCCAGCAAATCCAGATGGCGCCCATCCACCCCCTGGATTTCTGTCCCTAACCCTCCTTATGTTTCTCTATAGCTCTTGTCTCTGCCTGAGCTGTTCGTTATTTACTTAGTAACTAAAATGAACTAGTCTCCCTTGCTAGAATGTAAGTGCTTCAAGGGCAAGGGCTTGGTTCTGTGGTCCCAAGTGCCTTGAACATTATCTGCACAGGGTAGGTGTCTTATAAGCACTTGTAAAAAGGAAGCAGGAGGAAGAGGAGGACTAATCTTATGGATGAGGAGGGACTAGCCCACACCCACCATTGATCTGAAGCAGAGACACCCTGGCTGCATTTTGTTAAGTCCAAGCTCAAAGACTGATGGGAGCTGGGGAAGGGGATGGTGGCCTGGGCTCCGACTTTTTCACCCAAATCACCCTCAATCTGAAGAGCTATCCTCAGTCCCCAGGGGGAGGGCATGGCATCTGGACCTGTGGGGCCAGAGCTACAGACAACAGAGCCATTCATCTCGGGGTCTCAGCCTCTTTTAACAGGCCTTCCAGGCACTGCCGAGAAAACCAGGTTAATTGTTCCCGATGACAGCAATGTGCAGGGCTGGGATGCTCTCCAGACTTGAGAAAGGCTGGGAGAAGGCTGAGGGGTGGGGTGGAGAGGAGGAGAAAAATGGTCATTTGATGAATGGCTACTCTAGGCCAAGCCCTGATCTTTAATTATCACCTCACTCAATCCTCCCAACAACCCTTTGATGATACCCATTTTGGGCTTGAGCACATTCAGAGGACAAAGTGGCTGCTCACAGCTGGGTAGTGGCTGGGACAGTCTTGGTATTAGGGACTTGAGCTGGAATGTTCTTGGAGTTTGGGCCCCAGCCCTGCCACTGGCCAACTCTGTGCTGTAACAAGTTACTTCCCCTGCTCGGATTTCTCAGTTTCCTCATTGGCTGTCTCCCTGCACATCTGGGAGACATGCATGTGACAATTTGTGGCACGGGAACTGGCTAGAAGCAGGGACTGCTCCAGGAGTCAGAATCTGCCTCAACGCTTGACAGATCAGCGAGGAGCTCACTTTCTCCTGGGTGAGTGTTCTGGGCCCCTGCTTGAGAGTACAGAGCCCCCACCTCCCCTGAGAACTTGGTCCATTTGCAGCCTGGAGAGGAAGTGGGAACAGCTTGGGGGGGTCTTCCTTCCTTCCTTGGCCTGGCTCTGTGCCTTGAGCTGCAGGCTGTGCAGTGTGGAGGGCAGAAGAGATGGAGACACGGGGACTGGGCTGGGCTGTGGTGGAGGAGTGGAATAGCTCAGGCAGGATTGGGAGCCACACAGGACTGGGTCTGAGTCCCACGTGGGTTTGAGTCCCAAGGACAGTTGCCCTTTATGGGCTTCAATTTGTAAAATGGGAGTAACAATGGTCTCCCCCTGAGTATTTGAAAACTGTCAAGTGTTGTATACTGGTGAGCATCCCTCAGGGAGGAGGCTATGCCCCCGGGAGCCTGCAGCAGGCAGAGGCTAGGAAGGAGCAGGACCAGATAGGAGTCCACAGGAGAAGCCCCTGGGAAGCTCTTGCCTCCACCGTCCCAGATAATCTCAAGACAGCCTGGAGCTGACCCCACATGACTGGTGGGGAAAGTGAGTCTCTGAGTCCTGGTGTGATTTACTAAAGGGGAATGAAGCAGGGTGAACTAGTGCATCTGGGGGAGCTGGGTTAAAACTTTTCTGATGTTTCTGTTGCCATTCAACTCCCATGACACCACCACCAAAAGATAAAAATTGAGCAGCACAGCCCATGGGATGGGCCCTGGCCGCTTAAAGATATTGTAGATGCATATCTCTTGCCAGCTCTAGAATGGGTCCTAAGCCAGTTCAAGGAGTCTCTCCACTTCTCAGTATCAAATGAGATGATAAATGAGAAGGCTCTTTGCAAACTGTAAAGTGCTGTGTTTCTGATGGTGCATCTGCGTGTGTGTGCAAGCCCTTAGGTGCATATGCCTAAGTGAGAGTGTGCAGCTGTGAGCGTGTGTGCACAATCCCCTGGCCTGGCTGGTGGGGTAACTCCATGCTGCCCAAGGCTCCCTGTTTAGCTAGGACTCTTCTCCTCTAAACTTCTTGCAGTCTTTTTTCTGTGTTTCCTCATTGCTTCTTAGTTCACCAGAAGGGAGGGCGCCATGGTCTGGAAACCTAGGGATTGTCTGTGAGCCTGCTGACTCTTCTCCCCTCCTGCCCACCCCCATTGCCTCATCCTGTGGCTGCCCCTGGAGGCCTGGCTGCCTGTCGCTCCCAGCATGGCCCAGTCTGCAGGGCTGGCAGCTTGTCTGGCTCCTCTGTGTGGCTCACCTACCACCGCTTTTCCCTCCAGTGCTCTGCACCAGCCACTCTCACATCATTGTCTCACTGAATATTCACAACATCCCAGCATCCCCCCACCACCCGCCAGGTGCTCTTATTATTCCCATTTTATAGGCAAGGAAATGAAGTCTCAGTGGGGGAAATGGCTTTCCCAGAGTTACCCAGCCCAACTAGTAGCAGTGCTGGGGTTTCTACTCCTACCTCACTCCAAAATTTATCCTAACTGTTGCGGCCTACCTAGCGGGGGTGTGCTGGCTGGTTGGCTAGTTGAATAAATAAATAAATCACTCAATTGATATTGAGATGAAAGAGAAGGTTAAACAATAATAACAATGGCTATTGCTTAGTGAGCACCTACTTTGTGCTAAGTGCTTCATGTAAAAGCAAATGCAGCCAAGATTATGGTTATCCCCATTTTGCAGTTGAGGAGGTTCAGAGAAGTTAAAGCATCTTGTCCAGTGTGGCACCTGGGATTCTAACTCATCCTCCCTAGAGGAGCAAAGCCTGGTGACAGGTGCCCATTGTGGCAAAGGCCAGGCAAGACTCTTAGGAAGTTATGTCTAAAGGGCTCTCCCCAGTGACACCCATCCCCACCCCTCCTGTCCCAGGGCCATTTCCCCATTTATCTCTGAAGTGGGTTTCTATTTCAGTCTATGGTGGGGATCTGCTGGTCCAGCTCTGACTGTTCCTCTCTGTTGGCACATCTAGTGAGAGCCAATGCCCCGGCCTGGGCACATGGCAGTATCTTCCTGTTACTCCTGCCCCAGGGCCAGCCTAGTTCTTAACAGCTTCCATGGGATGGCAGGCCTGTGTAAGATGCAGTAGTGGATCTGTGGAGATGGCCTGGGTGGGTCAGTGGCATCTGTACCCAGCCCTGTGCTGGCTGCCAGGGACCCAGAGAGGAGTAGAGCCAGCCCTTTGCTTAGAGGACTCATGGGCTGGGTACTGAGGCCTGGGTGGATTAAGTCTGTAGAAGTGGGGAAAGAGCTTGGCATCCTGACTCCCAGTGCAACACTGATTTTCATGGCCTGGGACAGAGCAGGAGCTGTTCTGTGGCCCCAGGAGAGAGCTGACATGTGGAGTCTAGGAAGCAGATCTCAGCTCCAGGGGATGATATTATTTCTTTCAAGCCAGGAGGATGAGAATCAGCCAGTCAGGTCAGCCTGAAATTCCCTGAGGGCCTTCTGCTGGGGGACAGGATAGGGGTTGGGGACACTCTTCAAAGGGAAAAGAAATCAGATGCTGAAATCCGAGCTGGGTTTAAATCTAGGTACTAGCATTTGCTGGCTGTTGGCTGACAAGTTATTTAACTTCTTAGAATCTTAGTTTCCTCATTTGTAAAATGGGATAGTAGTATCTACCTGGCCAGCTCATGGAGTGTATAAAACAAGATAATGCACATAAAGTTACTTGCAGGTGTTTAGGAAGTTTGAGTTCACTTCCCTCCTCACCCTGGAGAGCCCTTCATCTGAGGGAGGGGATATTCCTTTAGGCAGAAGCTAGTCTGATTGTTGAGGCAAGAGACAAAACTTGTAAGATGTTAGAAATGAACTCCCCGGATTCACCAACACTTGACACCGTGGTGCACAGTCTTATTTCTCATGTCACAAAGGGGAAATATAGACACAGAAAGGCTGATGTGTAAGGCAGCCTAAAACACCTCTGCTGTAGAAAGTTGCTAGAATAAAACAGACGACAGATTAAAATCTGCACAGTCCCCAGCCTCCTGACCAAGCTGGAAACCTCCCTGTCAGACTTTCAGACTTAGATTCACTGAGGACCTACTTTGTGCTAGGCCCACATTATAGCTTTATTATAGGCTTATCTTTACAATAACAACAACAACCATGAAAGGTTAATACCGTACCCACGTTTAGTAAGTGGGGAAGCTGAGACTGAGTGTTACACAACGTGCTCAAGGTCATATAGCTAATAGAAGCAGAGGGAGGATTCGAACCCAGGACACTCTGGCCCTGAAACCCATGACTCTCCTACTCCATAGGGTACTTGTTCCACAAAAGATATCAGGCCTCATATCAGAAATACATAAAATAAAAAGACAAAATATAAATGACAACATAAAAAGAGGTAATTAGGGAAATACAAATCGAAATCACAATATGATACCAACTTACATCTAGTAAGATGGCTATCAAGAAAAAGATGGACAATAAGAAGTGTTGGTGAGGATATGGAGAAATTGAAACTCTCAAACAGTGCTGGTAGGAATGTGAAATGGTGTAGCCACTTTGGAAAAACTTGTCAGTTCCTCAAAAAGTTAAATGTAGAGTTACCATATGACTCAGCAGTTCTATTCTTAGGTATATACCCAAGAAAATTGAAAGCATACATTCACATGAAAACTTGCATACAAATAGTCATAGCTGTGTTATTCATAATAGCCAGAAAGTGGAAACAACCCAAATGTTCATCAATTGATGAAGGAGTAGACAAATATGGTATATCCATAAAATGGACTATTATTCAACTATAAAAATGAAATTCTGATCCATGCTGCAGCAGGGTGAACCTTGAAGACATTGTGCTAAGTGAAATGAGCCAGAAACAAAATGGTGCCTATTATACAATTTAATTTATGTGAAATATCTGGAATGGGCAAATCCATAAATATAGAAGGTAGATAGGTAGTTTCTACAAGATGGAAGGAGAGAGGAATAAGGAGTAACTGCTAATGAGTACAGGCTTTCTTTTGTGGTAATGAAAATGTTCTCAAATTAGGTAGTGGTGATGGTTGCACAATCTAAAGAATATACTAAAAACCACTGAACTGTACACTTTGAAAGGGTGAATTTTAGGTGCATTATATCTTAATTAAAAAAAAACAGGAGCGAGAATATACAAGTTACATAGAAGTTGAGACTAACATCGGTCCTAAGGTAGAAACATAGGGAAACTCAACTACAAGTTTCCTGGCAGCTGGAGTGAAAAGGGAGAAACAGCCTCCAAGAGGAAGAAAGTGCTAGCTCGTTAGGGAAACCCACTTTTCCAGGCTGTAGCTCTCGGGCAAGATTCCCACAAGGCTGCCTTGCCTATCATAATGACTTGTCAAAAACACCAGTTTCCTAAATCTCCCACCTGAGATTCTGATGCAAGTAGCATTAGGGACTATGAAGGGCCTGAGATGTTACCACACTTACAAGCAAAAAATTAGCCTACTACAGTTCCATGGATGCTGGCAGAAGGACAAAGACTCCTAGCTAGAGACAAAGAACTCTGTTCCTCCCATCAGTGGCAGCAGGGAGAATGCCAGTATTAGCACTGGTTCCTCAAGCCCCAATTCCCACAAGGCATTGCAAGGGCCAGATAATACCTGCCCGTGCAATGGGTTGCATTGCAAGACAGGAATCCAGACCTGAGGCAACTCAAATCTTTTCTAATGGGCAGTAAGCCTGCCTGACATTTGCCCCACAGGAAGACATCATCTCTGTCATGCCAGACAGCCAATAAAATTGCCTTGTGCTCCAGAGGGAGACACTGTCACTGTCTTCCAGGTCTATATGCTATGTAAAAGATCTTCTGGAATAAAGGCAGTCTGTCTCTGCTCGATAGACAGGCCAAAATCTGAGAGACCCATGAAGAATTGTCTCCTGACAGACACATAGATACAATGGTCAGGGCTGTTTTCGTTTGTTATTGTGGTAAAATATACATAACATAAAATTAACCTTTTTTATCATTTTTTTGGTCGGAAGATATACATAACATAAAATGAACC